TAGAAACGTGACGTAGAAGAGTGACGTAGAAACGTGATGTAGAAGAGTGACGTAGAAGAGTGACGTAGAAGAGTGATGTAGAAACGTGACGTAGAGAAGTGAGGTAGAAAAGTGATAGTTGTGCGATCAGGGTGAGTTGTGGGTTGATAGTTATGTGTGAGATCAGGGTTATAGATGTAGCACCTGGAGGAACGACAGGTCGTGATGCTGCCGAGCGTACGTCACCTCCAGGTTCTCCAGAACCACGGAGCAGTTTGAGTACATCCTCACCAGGTTGTCATGGTGATTCTCATGAGTCCCCAACAACGTCAGCTGGTTACTCATCCCCTGACACACTGACACAGAGAGAGAGAGAGAGACAGGGATGGATGGATAGATAGGCAGGCAGACAGGCAGACGGACAGACGGACAGACAGACAGACAGACAGACAGGCAGACAGGCAGACAGACAGACAGACAGGTAGGTAGATAAGGAGCTCTGTTGTATTTTATCAGAGAAAAATCTTGATTTGAATGAAACTCATCTGGAGTAAGATGGAAACACTTGAGTAAAGTGATGGTAGATGTACTTAGTTACTTCCAACCACTGATATTTACAAGGCTCCTGAACGTGAAGCTGTGACCCAGTGGAGGAAGAGTGCGTTGTTCAGATGACGAGCAGGAAGTTGCAACAGAGAAACTTCCTCCTCCAATGAGTCTCACATCAGACGGCTCAGTTTGTCGTATACACATTAAAGATAAACACGCACAGAGCAATGTGTGATGTCACAGCGGGACATTTGATCTGTTTGTTGAGATGATTTAAAATGAAAATCTTTCTTTAGAAAGGTTTTTAAAATATACCAGCGAGCTTATAAAAACCCAGCGTGTCACACAGTCTGAAGGTGTTTCTCACCTGTCCGGCAGGTTTGTCCTCCACACCTGTTTCAGCAGCAAACATTCCACAATATTAAACACCAATGTCTGTATCTGCAGACGGTAAAAAGTACAGGAGACGCCACGAGGCAAAGGCAAGAAATAATATAACCCTAAC